TTAATCGGACAAATAAAACAAGCAATTTAAAAAACTGGGATTCTTTCGCTTTAGTCAGAATCTTCCTCTTTCTTTTCCTTCTTCTTCTTTTTCTTTTTCTTTTTTTCTTCGCTTTTCGGAGTCTGTCAAAAAACAAACAAAACAAAATTATTTACTTGCTTCACAATAAATAACCTGAGATCAGGCCCAATTTTAGCGGTTGTCGTACATTCTATCTGACGGGTACCGTAATTTTCAAAGCGAAACGAAAATAGAGCCTGATCTCAGGTTACACAATAAATTGATATATTTTCAATCGAATCCAGTGTTTTTTTCTCATTATTTACGTAGTAAAGTCAGTTATAATCAACGAGTTAGAGGAGTGTAGGTAAAAAGCACCGCGAGTGAATTCGACAACAGTTAACGAAAAAACATTTTTTTCTCTTGAATCGTTTCGCTACTATAATACAGCTTCAGTTGAACCTCCATGTGCGACCACCTAAACAAAACACCAACGGTTTTTCCAGTCAAAGTCAGTTGGAACCTCTCCTGGTAAAAAGATCACCTGTCTTAAGCGACGGCGACCACTTTTGGGCGTAACGGTTTTTCAACTTTCCATTGTTTTCAACTTCCTGTAAGCGACCACTTGACGCATGCTCTGATCATCTCTATTTTCGCTGTATGTACTACGCTTCTGAGATCATACAAAGAACTTTTTGGTGATGGCAACGAAACTGCACATATCGTAACTAAGAAAAGAAGATGTGTCGAGACCTCTACCCGGTAGAGACCCATTATGACCAGCTTGCCGTAAGCGACCCGTAAATCAGCTTCGCATTTCGAGTGGCTGCTTTCGAAGGATTCGACTGTCGGAAAACCCTCGCGAAGACACCATTTATAAATAAGGGCGATGTCGCGAAAATGTACCCAAACATGCCATACAGCAATAATCACAAAGGTAAACTTTTGTGACCGTTTCTTCCATTCTATGGCACTGACAACCGCACATTTAAGACAAAGGATTACTGTCACCTTTAAATCTGAGAAAGTTTACTGAAACAGTTGTGGCTATGAAAACTGCATTCGCTTTTCCTTCTACGAGAGAGATCGACTGACAAACGTTGCCAATCTCGTACCCAGACCTCTTGTCAACGCAGCCGTCTTCGTCCACAAGAGATCTCGATACGAGATTAAAACGTGACGTTTCTAGCGTCTTCTGCGTTCACCATTTCTACATAGACCATAATGCTCCTTCTTTACCCTCAAAAATCTTGCATAACCATCGTTTCCAATTTCTCCTGAGTATTGCAGTCGTCCCAAGAGAAATCGAAGAGAATGGTTATGAAATTTATAATTTAATTTAATTAATTTTTTTGCGCCGGGGGGGTGGGGGGTGGGGAGGGATAAACAAGGTTCATTATGGTCTAAGTGAAAATGGTGATGAAGGGTATATATAGCTGGAATACTAAACACACTGATGCACCAAAAATGTAACCTGCGATCAGGCCATTTTTTTTTTTTTTTGGCGGGGGAAAAAAATACGGCGTATTTCTTTTTCCCCCGCCAAAAAACAAAATTCGCCTGATCGCAGGTTACCAAAAATGAAGAGAATCGACTAAACAACAGCGCAGGTAAGTGTTCTCACCACAGTTGCTGATGTTTCCATTTGCTCTTCGTCGTGTTCGTCAGACTGTTTTGTGGCTTCCTTTTCTTTCTTCTTCTTCTTTTCTTTTTTGTGTTTTTTAGCAGGCGTTTCCCCATCATCTGCAATAAGAAACCATTTCCACATTTCTTATGTCCACCCATCCAAACGCGAGAAAGCAAACTCAAAACAAAGCCGAAACCCACGAAATTTCATGAAGAATTTCAGAATTTCCGTGAACAAATTACGGTTGTTTTTTCAAGACATTTGTATCTAGGCCTACAAAAATGCAGATGTTTGAGTTCTGCGCATGATAGCCTGAGTAAACAGCTGAGTTTTCGCGACGCCACCACTGGCTTCCCCGCGAAATGACCTCTGAGGCAAATTTCCCACGCAGCACGACCAATCAGAAGCACTACCCACATCTCATCAGCATGATTTCTGCGCTGGTTTGTCAGACGTCGGGAAATGTCGACTGTTTTCTCCGGCTACGCATGACTGCGAAGCTCGCTTATTGTCATTCCCGTCCTAACAGTTACTGCGATCCTTTTGCCCAGCACCATGGATCAAAAGCTCTCGCTGATCCGAAGCCGGAAGTCTCAAATCATAGACTTCCGGCTTTCTTTGCAGTCTCGGACATGTCAAACACCGGTAAGAAAATGTCAAACTACTGCGCTTGCGCGATATTCTGCTCCCAGCTAGGGCGATCCGTGCCGCTGGCCAAAAGGATTGCGACTCTGGGGACGGCATTGCTTTATTATTGTACACAGACCTTCCTCAGTGGCAGGGGTGACTGGTGTATCCGGAACACTTGGAGCTGGCGTCGAATCTCCATTTTGCTCGCTTCTCTTTCGTTTCTTTCCAGGCGTTTCAATCGTTGAGTCCGCAGCAGGATTGTACGTCTTCACCTCGCTAAGGAAAAGAAACGACAGTGCTACTGGTAAGGAAAACGCATTACGCTTGGCTCTTCTTTTATGTCTTTTCCTTTGGGGGGTGGGGGTGAGGGTGAGGGGAGCTCAAGCCAAGAGCTTTCTTTTTCTGGAGTAATTGCAATAAATAGATATTTCCCCAATTCCTTCGAACAAAGTCGCAAAAGTTCGGGTAACTTTTAACTTTTCGGGCACGAAACCAAATATTCAAATCAAAATGTAAAGAAATAGAACGCTGGTCCTAACTATAGTAGCAGTCCAGGTGTTCTGTTAACTGGAAGTTCATCATATTATCTGAACAACTATTGAAACCTCGACCCTGAACGTAAAGAACAACAGCTTTTATGGCCCGAGAATTATCGGGACTTACGAGCAACGGGGCACCTGGAAAGAGGCGCTGCCCTCTCACCACTTTGAACCAGTTGCGCGCTTGAAATATGCTACCTTGGGTTTCAGAGCCTTTTCATGCGCGGTTTCAAGTTTCGGTCAATTTTTTTAAAGAGAAAAAATCTTTGGTACCCAGGGTAGAAACAGAGACCTTTAGATTCTCAGACGAGTACGACTACGAGTACGAGATTTTCTCAGTCCTAAGTAGTGTAGGCGCGTGAGCCAGCGTCATCTTGGCGGGAAAACGTGGTAGCCGTCGTCATTCTACTGCGAGCTTTTGCACGAATGTCGTGGTGTCGTAACTTCCTTCACTAAAGATAACAATACTAACTTTTCCAGTGAAAAATATTAAAATGAAGCTTTCCGGGAAGTCTATATTTTGAGAAGACAAGAAAACACTTCAAGTCAAATCTCGTAGCCGTAGTCGTTCTCGAATCTAAAGGTCTCTAATAGAAAGCTTTAGATTCGAGGTCGAGGACAACTACGAGTACGACATTTTCTCAATACTGAGTATTGTTCACGCGTGAACCAGCGTCATTTTGGCGAGAAAACGTGATAGCTGGCGTCATTCTACTACGAGTTTTAGCGAGAATGTCGCAGTGGCGGGAACAAGTTATCAAATGTAAGAAGTTTTATCATTTTGCTATCAGGACAGGGGCGGATCCAGGATTTTTTTTAGGAGGGGGTGTACTCGTCTCTTGCTCTACTTCAACACCAATAAACCACATAGTTTTTTTTTTTTTTGGCAGAATATCAGTTGTATTAGAAAACCGCAGGTCATCTTGGGGGGGGGGCGCACCCCCTGCAACCTCCCCCTAGATCCGCCCCTGTCAGGGCTTAACCTCCTCGAGTATAAATAACCGTACTATTTTTGGTGAAAAGGTAAAATAAAGCTTTCCGGGGTGTCTATTTTTTAAGAACACGTGCAAAAACTTTCAGTTAAATCTCGTACTCGTACTTGCTCTCGTCCTCAAATCTTAAGCTCTCTAATATGCTCGCCCGCGCGACAACCTTGGAGGTCTGGTAACAGGTGTCCAGTCCACAAAATGCGGTGGTTTGTGTGAGGTTCTCCTCGCAAGCATCAGCCTTGTTCATCGGATGCGGGCGCGCAGGGGAAGAGGCGTGTGGTTTTAGTTCAGAATGTTAGAGATGAGTACCTTTTGTTCTCGTATTTGTCCACTCTCGCTTTAGCTTTGCCTGTTCCACTGATTCTTCGCAGCTTCAAAACACAAGAACAGAAATTGTTACAACAAGGAACGCTCAACCGGTGTTATCCCCATCTGTGATCGATGTCCGACGTTGAGCGAAAGAAAGGACGTGGCAGAAAAGAGACCAAACTCCCTTGCGAAGGTGAGTATGACCGATCGACTGAGCAAAAATTAACCTACAATCAGGCAGTCTCTCTTCTTTTCTTCTTTGGGTAGCGAGGGGGACAAAGGAAGTTCCTCTTTTACCCCTTCTCCCGTCGGTCAACTTTCGCGCTCTCCCGAAAAAAGGAACGTTTGGTCGAAGGTTTAACAAGAATGGATAATGAATATCTGCTTCAAGTGCAAACCGGGGACGAGCCTTACCCAAAATGCACTGACCAGAACAGATCCGCCATGGCAACAAAGTGATTTCGGGAAACCTGCGTTTTCATGTTAATAAGAACCCATCAAAAGCGCTACGACCATACTAGCGGTATCGCATTAATTTATACCGACCCGAGTAAGCCACTGAAAACGAATAGCTGGAGAAACGATTTTATTACCAGTCAATTTTTTCGAACAAATTCCCGCCATTTAAAAGCTTGTAAGCAAGTCACGGATGAACACTAGTCCATGACGTCAGAGTTTTTGGCCTTCCACACTTTAAAAGACAGACTAATAAACCTACAAACTCAAGTAGAGATTCAAACCTGATTCTCCTCTAGTGACTTCAACCTCATTTCAAGCTTGGCTCTGTTTTCAATACCCATAGCTGTGTCAGCGTCTTCACCAAGGGCATCTACTCGCGCAGCGAGAGACGTTTTCGCGGCAAGCATTCGAGAGATCTGTAAATTTTTCACAAATTGAAAATTCAAGGTATATGGAAAGTTAGAACAATTCTCTAGAAAGTTTACTAATCACATGTTGACTGGCAGGCCTGAGACCTCTGTAAATAAAGTTCCAAATACACCACATTGATAAATACCACTACACAAACCAATGGTCTTTTAACATAATAAGACGCGAAATTTGGTAAACATCCACTGCAAACAGGCTGAAAAACATAGCTCGTAAGTTGAAAATATTTTCGGGAAAAAAAATCTGTTATCATATCTGTGAGTTCTAAAAGTTTAAGTACAGATTATCAAAAACATTCACCATTTAAAGTAATATTAAACAACTCGCTGTTAATGACAAACTAATCTACGAAGATTATGATATTTATTATTTTACTACTCCTACTACTTTTTACTACTACTACTACTACTACTACTAATGCATACATACCTTGCCTTTATGCTTGGGTGCACTTTGTCCAACAAGAGATGCATGGAATATCAAGCCATACTTGGGGGTGTCATGTTTAGTCTTGAGAGCCCTGTTTCAAACGCATTAAATTAGCACATTCTTTAGATTTCCGTACAGCCAAACCTTACAATAGGAACCTTAAGGCTATGTTCATACCATACAGCTTTTCGTGGGGCCACGAAATCCAAAAACACCATTCCGAACAACCTGGGGCCCGTTTCTCGAAAGGCCCGATAACTTTTCGGGTCTGAAAGCAAATTTTGAAATCAAAACCAGTTGAATAGTAGCAAAGTTCCTAGCTCACAAACCAGTCAATTTTGCTTCGTTAACTGATAATTTCATTGTATCATTTTCAAAATTATCGAACTTTGATCTTGAATGCAAACACGGCAAACGTAAAACAGCTTTTCGGGCCGAAACGTTATCGAGACTTTCGAGAAACAGGCCCCTGGGCCTGAGTGAGTCAGCCTGACGATTACCCGATATATCGGCAAAATCTGTCAAGTCGGCAACTTTGTGGCGTTTCTTTTAATTCGCTGAAAATGTCAAATGTAGGCGAATTTCCTAGAGTTGATTCCTTGGGGACCGCACTTAAGTTTAGTAGTAGGAGGAAAAATTCGTCGTCGCTTGTTTACGTCCTCCATAAAACGTTAAATTAGGCATTTTCGCGTCGCAGTCGTGCAGTGACGGCAAAAGAAATGTACAAAAAAGCGTGATCCTCGTAGAAAAGTTTTTGTTTTGCTTAATAAAGTTTTTTTTTTGTCATTCTCGCTACAGTCGCCGTCGTCGTTCCTAAAGTTCCCTAATGTTGCATCAGGTTTGCAGTGGACGTCAAAGAAATGTACCAAAAGGTGTGTTGCACGTGCAGTGCTGTTGTTTTGCTCATAAAGCTACGCGCAAATGGACGCAACAACTCATGTAACATTGCTGCGTCGGTTTGCACGGGGCTTTTGTTTGTTTGTTTGTATTCTTGACGTTTTCGTTGTCGTCGTCGTCCCTAGCTGCCTATAATAGAGACAGGGTTTGTATGAAAACAAGTGGTGCCTGTATCTGTATTATAGAGGAGAGCAAAAGGAGTTACTCAACTGCAGGGTTGTCACCAAGATTTCACGTTACCGGGTAAACATAACAAGTAGGCAGGGAATCAAACAGCTAGGGATTTCTTTGGGTTCTATTTTTCTTCTATTTTCCAATGAAAGTAGCCGGGGGCCACATTCATGATAGCTGGGGGAAATCCCCGGCTACCGGCTCTTAATGGCAGCCCTGCAACTGCATTTTTAATATTGCATCGTAGCCTTTCTGCTGGAGCCACTGCGGTGGCTAGTTCAATGCAAAAACAACGTAAGTACCGCTCCGTCCTAAACTTTAACAGTATTCGTTTTGTGTTGAAATCAAACACTATTTTACAAACCTGAATAAGGCCTTTTCTGCTCCCAGTATCTGAACTGTTGATGATGGGTGCTTGGCTAAATTCAGCAGAGACCCTGTGAGAAAAAACACAACTCACTTCAGTTGTGTAACAGAGGGGATTTCAAGTAAAGCAAAATCCACCAACAAGGCAAAAAATACCAACAGCAATACATGTTTTTTAGAGTTATAGGCAAAATTCTCCGTTAAAAAAACCTACATAATGTCTTGAAACACCTTCACAAAGGTAAATGAAACGCTCCATTTTCTACAACGAAATCGCTATAAATTGGTCCTTATCATCTTCATCGTCACCATCATTTGACCCTATTGGTCGGGAAGCTCTGAGAAATGATCTTACTCCAAGCATTCTGGTCCGCAAGGCTGCCCGGTCCGCGCCAGAGGCGCTTACGATTAGCCCGCGGGCGCCCAAAATTTCAAACAAGGAGCCCGAACGGGCGCCTAAAACTTATGATTCTCAGGATAACTTCCTGTGAACGAACGACAAAATTCCCTGCTCATTCTGCACTTTTGAAACGAAAACGGAAAACGTTTGGTTGTCGGCCGTAGGCGAAAAACTATTTCTGGTGGTAGTTTGCCATAAATCTGCTCACGCGACGCGTGCTCTGACCAGTGCATATTTTGGACATGTCGGAGTAAGTTAGTATATGTTCTGTCTAAGCCCTGCTGTTGGCGTGAGGTTCATTTTCATTTTTCACCCCGTAGAGCAAGATCGGTTTAATCATATTTTTAGGTCAGGAGACCCTTGCAAATGCCCATTTGATGTGGCAAAGGAAGCACGGGGCTTAGTGTAGCCTGCGAAAACATCCGTTTCTCCTCGCTCTTCGCCGCCGGGGACGTTTCGTTCCTCCGCGCGAAACGTCCCCATCGACGAAGAGCGAGGAGAAACGGATGTTTTCGAAGGCTAAGCTTAGTGACACTCGCGTCCCATTAAAAGACAGGTTGAGGTGACTGTTTCATATTGGTTAAGAGAATCTGTTAACAGATCAAAGTATGTTCCCCTGAGTGGTCAACTAACTAATTCTCATAACTTTTTCTATTGTTCATATTTTGATATTTTTAGGAGAAAATTTTTGTTGGTCATTCTTAGGACTTAAATGGTATCAGAACTTACCTGCATGGGCGATAAGTCGAGCTCCCACAAGTTCACCAACTAAAACTGTCAAATTTGGAGCAATGGCTGTCATACGATTCTTGAGGTAATCATAAAGCTGTGCTCGATAATCAGTGATTTCAATCACCTAAAAACAGGAAAGATTGAGGCTTTAGCGGACATTTATTCACGCAAAGACATGCCACAGGTTACTCATTTTGACCAAACCAACAAAATGACACTTTATTTGAGTGTCAATTTATTTAGCACGAAAGTACTTGTGGAGATGGGACCGCCATTTTACGTGGTCACCCCAGCCACGCGAAGGACTAGCCGTTTGTAGGGCAAAGGAACTACCTTCATTCATTCACCAATGCATAAATGGCCAAATTTCATGACATAAATTACCTGTTCACAAAGGTAGATAATGTTGTTAATGTCTTCATCTGAAATCTAAAACAGACGGAAAGAAAAACATAAATTGAAAAAAGTTATTCAACCAGGCAGGTGTAGCTGGAGCTATGAAATCTCCATTTTCACTGGCCTGCCAATTAATGTTTTTACGGCTAGCAACAATTAACGGGTCATTCATCTAATCTTTTGTTAGCTAATTAAATATATAATTAAATAACTCGTTCTGAGTGCTTTATGGTGCCGTGAGTTGAAATAGGAAAAGACATATCAGAACAATATTAATATCATATAGAAATTTTTTTGTGATCGCTAGTAAATTACTGGTCTCATAACCACATGATACTATTGAGACGGTTCAAAATGGCAATTAAACATGAAACTAGTTGAAAGATCTTCTTTTTTTTTTTTGGTTGAACACTTATTTATTCTATAATCAAAGGATAAATCATTGCCACAGAAATAAAATGTTACCTCTGTCCCCATGGAAATTTCTGCAGCAGCTTTCACTTGCTCCTCCACATCCTCAGGAAGAATCTCAGACAAATCTGTTTGTTCAGCATTTGTTCGGGTACCTAGACAGAAGAAAACCAAGCACAGCTGGTAATCACAAATCCTGCTGGATGATAATTTATTCTGTTCTTTTCCAAAATGGAAATGACACTTGCATGAGCCCTGTTTCAAACGCATTAAATTAGCACATTCTTTAGATTTCCGTACAGCCAAACCTTACAATAGGAACCTTAAGGCTATGTTCATACCATACAGCTTTTCGTGGGGCCACGAAATCCAAAAACACCAATCCGAACAACCTGGGGCCCGTTTCTTGAAAGGCCCGATAACTTTTCGGGTCCGAAAGCAAATTTTGAAATCAAAACCAGCTGAATAGTAGCAAAGTTCCTAGCTCACCAACCACAAACCAGTCAATTTTGCTCCGTTAACTGATAATTTCATTGTATCATTTTCAAAATTATTGAAACTTTGATCTTGAAAGCAAACACGGCAAACGTAAAACAGCTTTTCGGGCCGAAACGTTATCGAGACTTTCGAGAAACAGGCCCCTGGGCCTGACGATTACCCGATATATCGGCAAAATCTGTCAAGTCGGCAACTTTGTGGCGTTTCTTTTAATTCGCTGAAAATGTCAAATGTAGGCGAATTTCCTGGAGTTGATTTCTTGGGGACTGCACTCAAGTTTCGAAGGAGGAAGAAAAATTCGCCATCGCTTGCTTACGTCCTCCAAAAAAACGTTAAACTGGGCATTTTCGCGTCGCAGTCGTGCAGTGACAGCAAAGAAATGTACAAAAAAGCGTGATCCACGTGCAAAGTTTTTGTTTTGCTTAATAAAGTTATTATTTCTTTGTCATTCTCGCTACAGTCGCCGTCGTCGTTCCTAAAGTTCCCTAATGTTGCATCAAGAGGCTTGCAGTGGACGTCAAAGAAATGTACCAAAAGGTGTGCTGCACGTGCAGTGCTGTTGTTTTGCTCATAAAGCTACGCGCAAATGGACGCAACAACTCATGTAACATTGCTGCGTCCTTTAGCACGGGGCTTTTGTTTGTTTGGTTGTATTCTTGACGTTTTCGTTGTCGTCGTCGTCCCTAGCTGCCTATCATAGAGATAGGGTTTGTATGAAAGTAAGTGGTGCCTGTATCTACATTATAGAGGAGAACGAAAGGAGTTATTCAACTGACAGGTTGTCAATAAGATTTCAAGTTACCGGTTAAATATAACAAGTAGGCAGGGAATCAAACAGCTAGGGATTTCTTTTGGTTCTAGGGGGCCAAATTTATAGTAGCTGGGGGAAATCCCCGGCTACCGACTCTTAATGGCAGCCCTGCAAATGTATTTTAAAGATTGAATCGTAGCCTTTCTGCAGGAGCCACTGTGGTGGCTAGTTCAATGCAAAAACAACTTCAGTACCGCTCCGTCCTAAACTTTAACAGTATTCGTTTTGTGTTTACAAACCTGAATAAGGCCTTTTCTGCTCCCAGTATCTGAACTGTTGATGATGGATGCTTGGCTAAATTCAGCAGAGACCCTGTGGGAAAAAACACAACTCACTTTAGTTGTGTAACAGAGGGGATTTCAAGTAAAGGAAAATCCACCATAAAGGCAAAAAATACCAACAGCAATACATGTTTTTTAGGGTTATAGGCAAAATTCTCCATTAAAAAAACCTACATAATGTCTTGAAACAACTTCACAAAGATAAAGGAAACGCTTCATTTTCTACCACGAAATCACTATAAATTGGTCCTTATCATCTTCATCGTCACCATCATTTGACCCTGTTGGTCGCGAAGCTCTGAGAAATGATCTTACTCCAAGCGTTCTATTCCGCAAGGCTGCCCGGTCCGCGCCAGAGGCGCTTACGATTAGCCCGCGGGCGCCCAAAATTTCAAACAAGGAGCCCGAACGGGCGCCTAAAACTTATGATTCTCAGGATAACTTCCTGTGAACGAACGACAAAATTCCCTGCTCATTCTGCACTTTTGAAACGAAAACGGAAAACGTTTGGTTGTCGGCCGTAGGCGAAAAACTATTTCCGCCGATAAAAGGTAAACAAACGAGCGCTTGTCTTGAAATTCGCTTCTGAGACTTCCGCTGCAGTGCAGTTGAAGTTTGAGCACTAAATTGGAGACGGCAGTTTGTCAGCTTTTGGGGTAATGGTGGTAGTTTGCCATAAATCCGCTCACACGACGCGTGCTCTGACCAGTGCATATTTTAGACATGTCGGAGTAAGTTACTATATTTTCTGTCTAAGCCCTGCTGTTGGCGTGAGGTTCATTTTCATTTTTCAGACCCGTAGAGCAAGATCGGTTGAATCATATTTTTAGGTCAGGAGACCCTTGCAAATGCCCATTTGATGTGGCAAAGGAAGCACGGGGCTTAGTGTAACCTGCGAAAACATCCGTTTCTCCTCGCTCTTCGCCGCCGGGGACGTTTCGTTCCTCCGCGCGAAACGTCCCCATCGACGAAGAGCGAGGAGAAACGGATGTTTTCGAAGGCTAGGCTTAGTGGCACTCGCGTCCCATTAAAAAACAGGTTGACGTGACTGTTTCATATTGGTTAAGAGAATCTGTTAACAGATCAAAGTATGTTCCCCTGAGTGGTCAACTAACTAATTCTCATAACTTTTTCTATTGTTCATATTTTGATATTTTTAGGAGAAAATTTTTGTTGGTCATTCTTAGGACTTAAATGGCATGAGAACTTACCTGCATGGGCGATAAGTCGAGCTCCCACAAGTTCACCAACTAAAACTGTCAAGTTTGGAGCAATAGCTGTCATACGATTCTTGAGGTAATCATAAAGTTGTGCTCGATAATCAGTGATTTCAATCACCTAAAAACAGGGAAGATTGAGGCTTTAGCGGACATTTATTCACGCAAAGACATGCCATAGGTTACACATTTTGACCAAACCAACAAAATGGCACTTTACTTGAGTGTCAATTTATTTAGCACGAAAGTACTTGTGGAGATGGGACCGCCATTTTACGTGGCCACCCGAGCCACGCGAAGGACTAGCCGTCTGTAGGGCAAAGGAAGTACCTTCATTCATTCACCAATGCAAAAATTGGCCAAATTTCATGACATAAATTACCTGATCACAAAGGTAGATAATGTTGTTAATGTCTTCATCTGAAATCTAAAACAGACGGAAAGAAAAACGTAAATTGAAAAAAGTTATTCAGCCAGACAGATGTAGCTGGAGCTATGAAATCTCCATTTTCACTGGCCTTCCATTGTTTTTAGGGCTAGTAACACTGTTTGGGTCATTCATGTACTCTTTTGTTAGCTAATTAAATATATAATTAACCTACTCGTTCTGAGTGCTTTATGGTGCCGTGAGTTGAAATAGGAAAAGACATATCAGAACAATATTAATATCATATAGAAATTTTATTACTGGTCTCATAACCAAATGATACTATTGAGATAGTTCAAAATGGCAATTAAACATAAAACTAGTCGAACTATCTTCTTTTTTTTGGTTGAACACTTTTTTATTTTACAATCAAAAGGATAAATCATTGCCACAGAAATAAAATGTTACCTCTGTTCCCATGGAAATTTCTGCAGCAGCTTTCACTTGCTCCTCCACATCCTCAGGAAGAATTTCAGACAAATCTGTTTGTTCAGCATTTGTTCGGGTACCTAGACAGAAGAAAACCAAGCACAGCTGGTAATCACAAATCCTGCTGGATGATAATTTATTCTGTTCTTTTCCAAAATGGAAATGACACTTGCAACTGCTGATAGCCTGGCCCAGCTTGCCATATTAGGGCAAAGTTTAGATATCACGTACTAGCCCAAAAGTCATTTCAACATGCCTGAAAAAAGTTTTTGTTGAGCAGGATTGATTACAGTTCTTCCGTAATTTGAATTCCCAAAAAACTTTACTTGCCTGTCCGGCAATAGGGACAAAATTTCTTAGCCCAATAGCAATATCCACTAACGTACTACAAGCTATCAGACACAACATTAACTTTCTTTGCATGCTGATGACTTGCAATTGCTTTGTTTCCTTAGACAAGAAACCCTGTCTCATTTTGTTTCTCTTAACCCAGATGTATTAATGGGACGTAAATCAGATACTGCTGGGCTGGGGGGAAAACCTGCGATTGACAAGCATCTCATCTAGGAGGCTGAGAAGTAGGAATACTCCTGGGTGCTTATTTCAGGTTACAAGAGGAGGGTTGAATCTTGAGCCTGACCGGCATGATGTGGACCTCATTGGTCATGGCTCATGTCTGGTTGCAACTTAATTCATACAAAAATGTGGCATATGTTCTGGCTCATGAATATTGCCAAAAAAACTATCCCCAGATCTTAAACAGAAAAAAGATCGAAACATTACAGATTCTAGCTTTTCTGACCTTTTTACTTACCCATTGCCTTGACAGTCTTGGCATAAGCCAAATTATCAGTGACTATCTTGCCCATCTCTGGGAAATGCCAGCCATACCACTCACGACAACGCATGATGTAGTTATTAAGCTCTTTGTCTAGGTCATCAAGAAGAGAAATGGCCTGCACAATCATGGTGTCAACCTTATCTGGGCTGAACTTGAGTTTGTAGCGTGACAAGCTAAAACGAACAACATTTAATTAACCAATTACAGTGATTTTGTTACCTCTGTGTCCTGCGTCCCTGACGCAAAAACATCTCCAAAGATGCACAAAAGGTCATGGCATGCATCCTGTAGGACACAAAGATCGATGGATCAATCGATCTGAAGATGTTTTAGCAGATTACCCTGCTTGTGTGATTTCTGTGGCTGTTGTTTAACGATGCATATTTCTTTTAGTCTTTGTTGTGCTTTACAAAAGAATTATCTTTTATCTGTCTGGTCACATAAAGGCCCAAGCATCTTCAATTATAGGGACTTGTTGTGTTTTGAACTTGAACTCAATGGTTCTGGAGTGCGACTCACTGTTTATTCACATGATAAGTCCCTGCAGAGGACTCACCATAACTATTTGTAACAAAATCACTGCAACTATAGACCAGTCTAGGATATATATTGTAATCATCTCTTCAAATCGGTCATTTAGAGTGTTTGTAATCTTGTGGTGAAAACCTGATTGAGGAAGAAGGATATATAATCACAGAACCTTTGTATAAATGGCATCCAGACCCTTTCATTTCTGGACCAAGTTATGTAGGATTATTTGTCAATCTAACCTTTAAATCTGTGTGTGAAATCCTATGGTATTATAACCATTCAAATGGCCCCTTTTGGAAGGAATTTTCCAAAGTACTTTTGCAAATGTTTTTTTTGGTCTCTTTAACCCTTTAAGCCCCAATATAATAGTGACCAGCATCTAATTTCTCCTAACAATAACACTGCCTGATCAAACAGACAGGTTATGAGAATTAATGAAATTATCACTAAAGATGAAATGTTGTGATGTTAGAACAAATTCTCTCCAGCAGTACCAAAAGGAATGTATGAAGAACAGTGTGGAGAAGATGCATGTTGATGTTGGGGCTTAAAGGGTTAAGAAGTGAAGAAAAGTTGACAATAATAATTACACAGTCAACTCTCTCTTAGCTGGACACCTTTGGGGCTGGCACCAAGTGTTTGTCTAAGAGTGATGTCCGTCTTATAGATTCAAATGAGGGGGGTAAAAAAAGGCAGGGACCAACTCTAGGAGTCTGTTTTATTGAGGTGTATGAGGAGGTGTCCATGAAAAGAGAGTCAACTGTAAAACTCCAAGGATTTTTTCTTATACATGTATGTTATAGGCTTTAGGATGTAAAATAAACAGTTTTCAAAATAATACCAGTAGCTTCCTTACATAACATTTCAAGAATTGGTGATATGTTCTGCGTGTGATTAGGGTGCATACCTGTGTGCCAGGCCTAATGCCATTGCACTCATTTCTTTATCAGGGAGACCTAGAAATACAAAAGAATGAAAGAGAAATTTGTAACCACTTTTATCCCTGTCACTGGTTATCAGAAAATTAATAAAAACCAATTAAAACAGAATAAATAATACTAATGATGCACCCTTAAGATTTTGGAGCTCCCCGTTCAGACCAGCCAATTTAAGTCTTCCTGTCCTGCCAGGAGATTTCCATTTTTGATGAAAATTTCTCCCCTTTGAATATTAACCGTAAGTTTCTGGGAATTTTGCGAAAAATGCCTTTTGAAGCTAGTTGAGCCATTTTCAACCAACTGTCTGGTCATAAAGAACCAATACTGCCCAAAACCCTGTATGTCAGTCAAGCACTTCATGGGCCCCTCTGTTCCAGATGCAAAATGTCAGCTTCTGAAGTTTGGACATGCACAAATATCAAAATTTCGAGATAGTGTTTGGGTTTAAAAGTGACACAACTGCATTTACCTGTTCCTTTCTCTCCTCCCCCCTTCACTCACTTTTCTTGCCCCATTTTTTTTCACTAGGCTTCATTTTGGTAGGAAAACTTTTTGGCAAAGCTTTTAGTATTTGTAGGATTAAAAAGACACAAGTGCAGGTTGGTAATGGACAGGTTTTCATTGGAGTTGTGGGGTCAATTTTACATGTACAAGCTTTTTGCCATCTTATAGCCTCTTTGACTGAAATGTGCTCATTCTGGCATGTTTTGAAAGATCTCTCCCCCCTGCACAAGTACAGGTAAGATGGCAAAGTTGTCCCTGACCATTAAAACCGATGACATCACAAAAGGTACAGTGATCATGGATCCACACTGCCAGTTATGGATGGTTCAGGAGCAAATGGGTTAACTCATTTGAAGGACGAAGACTAATACATAGTTGGTATTGTCCTGTGATTACCTGTGATAAGACTGTTCAGCTGGAGTCTGATACCTCGCATGAGTTCCTGTACCGCTGAACTTGATACACAATTCAAGCTAAGCTTCTCCTGATAAATCACGAAAACATTTAAGGGTTACATTGACTTATACATACTGTTTTGGCAGAGTTAATGTTCATCATAAAAACTCTTTTAAAAGTACTTGTAACTGACCTAAAAGGTATTAAAATTATTGATTTTTTGGTAGCCCAGATTTTGTTAAGATTAGTTTAGGTCCCTGAGGAATGTAACAAAGGGCATGTACCCTCTGTCAAATAGCTAAGGAAAAGGCCAGTACTCATTCATAGCATTGAGTAGTTTTTGGTGTTGCAGACAGCTGCCATCACTACATAACGCAATACAAACAACTACATATACCCACACCACAACACAAATTGAACCAAGAACACTTTCCACGATGCCAACAAACACCCCAGCATTGGTGGTTATAGCAGACTAACATATTGCGTTATTTTGTAAAATTAGTTTTGCACTTTCATCTCTGCTGATTGACTCACCTTGATCACACCTCCCAATTTTGCATCAGCGACAGCCAATTCTTGGTGAATATCCTTAGCAACAATTTTCTTCAACACCTTCTTCAGGCTTTTACTCATTTTCCCTTCCACTGTAGCTGTGGCAGCTGAGGGTAAGGTGAGAGTAATACAGACATCATTGTATTGTATTGTATTGTATTTATTTATTTGCCACACGATTACAATAATTACAAAGAAATGCCAAAAAAAAATGTGGGAAGAAATGGCGAGGATGCCTAAAGGAAACTATAGAGCTTATGTTAATTAGGCCTCCTCAATTACAATTTTTCGAAGATGGCATAAAAATTATGGCGACGGATACAAAATAATATCAGGTGGAAAATTAAACTAATCAATATTACGGAAGTTTACAAATAATGTTGAATATTAAAAGGCTTTTTCGCAAGATTTCTGTTGGAGTATACTAATAATTATTACAAATAAATGCATTCAAAGAGAAAGGTTTTGAACTCATTCTCTGGAACCCAAAATAGTACTATTTGGGACAGTCGAAGTGATTGTTTCTTTTATTTTTTAACTTAGTGTGGAGAATAATAAATTTTAACAACTGAGCATCATATGCACGTTCAAGACAACAGCTGCTTCAATGTTACAGACTCTGACTTATTTCCTGATTTGACTGAATGCGTGAAAGGACCTTTTGTTAACAGTCAGGACTCCTGGGTTGAAACCTTTCACAACCCTTTCACAGGCAGTACTTAGTATACACATGGCAGTATTTTAATGTTGAAGGGCTTCAGAGGTTATGCAATGGTGCAATTCCACACAATATTATAATCATCCTAAGTCACATTCAAGAGAATAATCCTAGATGGCTCATCTGATGAGCTCATCAGATAAGCAATCTCATGCCGTCGGACAGGATTACTTGAGAAAACACAGTTGAATAATTGAACTCTCCACAACAGAGGTGTCTATGGTTATGTACATGAGCAGGCGTCAAAAGGGGTATGGGGTCAGGAGGGAGGGAAAAAATGAGGGGGATTAGAGAGAGAGCAAAAGAAACCTCTCTTCCTTTTCCCCTTTTAATCTTTTCTCCCCCCTCCCTCCCCCTCCCCTTATTTGTGCCTGCCATGCAGGCTATTGACAAAGTCAGGTGTAATGGAACCATAGATGTTTAAGTTGTGCTTTTCCTTGCATGCAGCTTATGCGTATGTCAGCCCAGTTTGCGCGTACATCACAATGACACAAGCAGAAGCACATTCCATTTTTTTGTGCTTGCACTTATACTTGTGTTATTTGACTATGCCAGCCATATGCAGTTATGGAAACTAAGAGAGAGGAGAATACAACATGCACATGACCTATGACTCGAGCTGTCAATGTTTAACTTGAGTTCATGGTTGAAACCTACCTGCCAAGGCTTCAGTCGTATCATTGAATTTCTCAAAGTGTTTCAGTTTCACTCTGCAAATAAAAATTAAATGACAAGAGATTTGCTTTATAAAATAGTTTTAAAACAGGCAAAGGTAATAGATTACAATTAAAACTACGTATTTATAAACTTGGTTGATTCTACATGTAACTTACATGGCTATTTTACGACTTAGCTATCCCAAAAATGCACCAAATATACTTACACTTTACTGGCAGCATCTGGTGTCTCAAAATCTTTATACAAATTATCAATTTTCTGTAACTTCTTCTCATCTAGAAGCTAAGAAATATGAAATATGAAAACTTCGCTTCAGATCAGACATTTTACGAGGCAATCGACGTAATACGAGAAAACAGCTTTATCATGCCAAGCAAAAATAGCGTTTACTTACCTTAAAGATTGCATAGCCTGCAGGCGTTTCAAACAGCACCAACATGATGAATGAAATGAACTATTTCGAGTATAAAATCAAAACAAACTGCATGCGTTTACCAAACGATCCTGCACGTGGAAAGACTTCCAGAACGCAGCCTCGTTACAATGGAAGCCTCGTTATCACCCTGCAACTGTTGTCTTATATCACGTGATCGTGGTTACTACGTTTTGTAACCGTTTTGTAGACTTCCGAAAAGCCTTCGATCTGGTGGGTCCACAGGTAGCCCAAACTCGAAATATTAGCATCGGCGAGCATCGGCATTGTTGCGTAACATTCAAAATATAAGGATTTGTATGGAAAAAAAACCTATTGTTTCTGTAACCTACGAAAATGAAAGGATTTCAATAAAAAACAGCTTACCTTACTTAAAATGTGTGTTGCGTTTCCCCTATGTGGTCCACGGGCCGATTTATGGCCGTTTTATGGGTTTTTATGTAAACAGTTTTCTCTCTATATAAAGGTTTACCAAGCTTCGATTTTCGTAGGTTACAGAAACGATAGGTTTTTTCCCATACAAATCCTTACATTTTGAATGTTACGCAACAATGCCGATGCTCACCGATCCTCATATTTCGAGCTTGGGCTACCTGTGATTAGACCTGTTTTAGAATCAGAAGCACACCCTTTCAAACGTTTTTTAGAAAAGCCAGTGGATCATGGCCATAATCTAACATCTTGTAAGACTAACCCAGCGCACCTCAGAATACCTGTATCACGCACTGTTAGGCACAAACAATGGTTTATTCCTAAAGGTGCTAAACTTACCTTAATTTGACATGTACAGCTGTATGTACATATATGTATAATGTGTTTTGAATTTTAATTGTAATATTACCGTAATTCTTATCGCCAAAGGTAATAAATAAAGATTAAACATCAATACTGAGTCAGAGCAGGTGAAATTTAATTCCATGATGTTTTTGTTATTTTCTGGAACGAAAATGTTATTTTCTAAGATTTTTCTCAGTACTTTGATCTCCATGTCCTTTTTCGCTAATACTTCGGGTAAAGATACCGTCATTTTAGTTTCTTTCGACGGTTTTCGATGGGATTATCTCGACATGAATCGGACTAATACAGAAAACTTCGATTCCATCATTCAGGAAGGCGTTCGAGCTGAGTATGTTCAAAATGTTTTCCCAACCGTTACGTTTCCGAATCACTACACCATTATGACTGGACAGTATGCTGAGAGCCATGGAATAATATCCAATAGCATGTACGATCCCGTTCTTAATGAAAACTTCAGCATGGACACGAACGACTCGAAATGGTGGAATACGTTCAGTGAACCGTTGTGGATCACCAACCAAAACCAGGGTCATAAAAGCGGGATGTGTTACTGGCCGGGCTATGATGTGGAGTACAAAGGGCAAAATGCATCGTACACTACAAGTGGATATGGTTTTAATAAACCTTTTTTGACCAAAGAGGGTATAATGCCTTGGAAGGAACGAGTTGATGTCATTATAAAATGGTTGAAAGAACCAGATCCTCCATCATTTGTGACCCTATATTTCAATTCACCAGATGATGCTGGCCACTGCTGTGGACCGTACTCAGTAAACGTTACAGAAGAAATCAGGAAAGACGACAAGATCACGGGATACTTATTGGAGCAATTGCGTAAAGAAAAATTATTGGATGAAGTTAATCTAATTATCACCGCCGATCATGGAACTGGAGCGTACAACACAAGCACAATCATCGATTGTACTGATTATTTAACTCCTGGTTTAACGTTTTGGGCTGGAGGAGGAACGTTTTTTTTTTTACACGCTGATAACGTAACTCGTGCTTACAACAAGTTAAAAGAACGTCAAAAGTTGCAACCCCATTTCTCAGTTTTTTATAAGGAGGAAGTACCGGATGACCTTCACATAAAACATAGTAATCGTGTTCCTGAAATTGTAGTTATCATGGACGAACACTGGATTGCAGAGATTTCAAAAGCTCATAACACAACAGTTTCTGAGCCTGTTGTCACTAAAGGAGCTCATGGTTGGGTCCCGTCCATACCATCAATGCGTCCGTTCTTTATTGCACGTGGCCCAGCATTCAAGGTTGGTCACAAATTTGGTCACATAAACATGGTTGATATCTACCCATTGATATGTCATTTACTTGGAATAAAACCAGCGCCAAATAATGGGTCCCTAGATCGCATTGCTCACCTACTGAAATCTACGCCTCGCACTCTGCTTCGCACCGAATCAAGTTCACTGAATGCTGGAGAGATTATAGCATAAGTTATCGGGACCGCAATTGGCTTAACAGTTTATATGTATGCCATTATCAAGGTTGTGAAGGATCAGGGGCACCCAACGACTGTTTTCTGTAAAATATCTGTTCGGAGAAGCAAATATTGCCTAGAACATTCTATTGCTTAAATACGGCTAAAAATTTCTAGAAGAGCGTTCCATTCAGGTACAATTTTCGAAGCTTATCTAAAAAATTCCCTACTATTTTCTGAAGTGTAATTTTTAATCTTTTACTCCTTATGTTTGGCTAATTTTCGTAGAAAAAGGAAACCTAAAATTTTCGGATTCAAAAATGAGATGGAAAGAAGAACAAGAAAAATTCTCACTTTCGTATTTAACGTTCAACTGCATCTAAAATTTTCGGAAAAATAACATTGAAGCCCTTGTACTTTCGAAAAGCCTCAAGCTCTCCTAGGATGACCGAATAGATACAAATTTTATAGCGCTGCTTAGAATACATACATTTCTAGAGATCTAATGTAAGGAGAGATTTCCCATGTATTCTTTATTTGATTTGTGTTTCATGTCTGGCTTTAAACATTCTCTTTGAAGTTGTTTTAGCCGTAATTTACATTGAATTTGCATTGAGTTGTTTTAGTTCCCTTAAATTATACCCATTTTACTTCAATGTTTACTTTTAAAAGGATAATTTGTTTCTGAATATAGATACAGGGGCACCCAACGAGGATATAGTTCAAAACCACTCAACATAGCATTGTTGAACGTATTTTAGTATTTAAACGGTAGATATAGGCATATTTTTATCCCCTAAAAACTTTTCATCTGTTCGGATTTCCTAGCTGAAAGTCTAGTAATCCGAAAATTATAGGGATCAAAACTTACCTTTTCGAAAATTTCAGCCCGGAAAAGGCTCCCGAAAATTCTAGGTGGCCTTTTTTAGCGTAAATATCCGTTTAAAATGGGTAATTATACCATTTTGTAGATGTTCGAAAATCCTAGGAGAGCCAGGCACGAAAGAAATTTTACAACAAATGTTCCGAAAATTCTAGTTCTCAAATTGTCTTCCGAACAGATATTGTCCCGAAAATTGCCGTTGGGTGCTCCTGTAGATATACAGCTTAGTCACTGAATAACTAGACCTTTCGCCTGTTCAAATACCAACCGTTCGTAGTTTTTAGTTTTGACATTTTAGGGAATCCTGAGCAAAGGAAACTCGAATTCTTTTTAACAGCTTTCTTTGTAAATTTCCTAAATTCACTTGCTTGACTGACATTTAATTTTGAGTTATTTAGGCATATGAACTTTTAAATTGAATTTATCCAGATTTGTTCTCAGTTTTCAGCTGATTTTATTCAGCCTTCTTTCCATTTGTTTTGTGATGTTGTAATAAGTTGATCGGTTAGTATAAATAGAGCACTGTTATTCCTGTTTTTCGATTTACATTGCGGGCCGGAGTTACATGCTTGTACGATTTACACTGCGGATTTACATGCTTGTATGATTTCTACATTGCGGATTTAATTGATTTTACAAGTTACGTTAACGAGCTGAAGATTAAATAGTTGAAGTCCAAGTTTGAGTCCTGTACTGTTTCCAGTTGTAGCAGATTCGGTACCTTGGAATAGTGACGAGTTCCTTTCCCGCTAGCCAAGCGAGTTGCGAGTTAGTTTTCCCCCTTGTTGTCCTTACGCCGAAGTCGCTCGAGTTCTCTTTACGCTTAATTTCCCGATTTGTTGCTGGAAGGGCAAAAACTATCGTCACACTAAAAGTACTCTGGATAGCAAAAAAAGACTTTTCAATGCGTTTAGGAGGAAACCGTCATTGGGTGCATGCCCCTGAAGGATCGGAGACTTGGCAGAGGGCAAAGGAGGCCGAGAGAAGTGGATGTGCCACTGATAGATGGTGAATTATATGGTGATCAAGAAGATGACAATGTCATTTAAATGCAGAAATATAAATTTGTAAGGTTTTACTATTTTGTAGTTCTGTAAAACCTATGCAAGATCATATCACAATCTAGGAAGTAGTTCAATTTCCCCATTAAAATGTATATGTATATTGGATATTCTAAGTTAAGGAATGATATTGACTCTGCAACAGAGGAAAATAAAGTTTAAAACAGGGATAAAATTGAACACAATATGTACAGCAGGGCTAGGGAGTAAGGTTTCATGATTCTGCTGTTAGTTGTGTTAAAACACTAACTAGCAAACATTTTAAGATAGAGTAAGAGACATGTATAAAGGGCTAACAGTCAAAACTGTATAAAGCAGTCAACTGCAGAGAATGACCACCTGATACGGTGTAAGGAGAGATTTTCCATGAATTCTCTATTTGCCTCGAATATCATATATAGCTTTCAAATATTCGCTTTGGCGTTGTTCTTAGTAATTCATACTGAATTTGCATAAAGAAGTTTTAGCTCCGTTAAAAGGGTTGATTTTTATTATCCTTGTTTCATTTGCTTTGTGCTCGCTAGGTAATAATCTCAAAAAAAACCCAACAGTGTTCCTTAACAAACCAAAACTAATTGCTCGTTCTCTTTTCAATTATATACATTTACGTCAATGTTGACTCTTGAAAGAATACTTTATTTCTTAATAATGTTTTATTTGACTTCAGTCTATTTTTCGTGATTTTACTACCGGACGACATTTATTCATAGTAACGCCTTTCGTGCAGGTGCTTCTCGTTTTAATTGCGATTTAGTTATATTTATTTGCGAAAATATATTTCATTAAGTTGTTAGTTAAAGAGAGGTGATAACCGAATTTTGAATATGAAAGGTTTTGTGGTCTTGCAATTTTAAAAATAGATCGGTTTTTGTTTAAGGAGAAAACTTCCAATTAATCTGCGCTTTTCCTGTTTAAACAGCCGATAGCTGACCTTGCAATTTAATTCATATTGTAACACTTTGTACATAAACGCTGTTTTGCTAACCTGGCTAGGTCTTTGTCTCAGTACTTTTACTTTCTAAAATAGCAACAGTAACAAAAAATTTCAGGTTAAAAATAGAATTTGTATTTAGTTTTCATTTAACTCTAAGTGATTTCTGTTTATATTTCTATTGTATTCTTGTGTCTTCAATGGTTGTAAAAATCATATATAAGTAAGTTTCTTTGAACTGATTTTTCGATTATTTCGCCGTGTCCTAGCCGAGTTATTGCTGTTTGATCCACTGAAAAATAAACGCTGTTGGAACCAAAGTTTAGTACTGTTTTGTCTACTGCTGTACCAGTTAATTAGTGGTCAGATCCCGGTCCTACGGAGAAGTGACGGCTCTTCCCCGCAAGCGAGTTGTCATTTGAGTCTAGTTTTCCCCAGTTTTATCGTGAGTCAAGCACCGAGTTCCCGTTGAGCCTTAAATTCGTTTCAAAGTGGAAAAACGTTCCGTCACAACGGGACTGTATAGCCCAAGAGTTAAGACTGGTTCTCTGTTCTCACTCACTGGCCTGCAAAATAGCTGCAGGCACTACCTGGAATACTGTTCCAAGATACAGTGTATGAAAACATATGTCTCCAGCAACAAGAACTATCAATGTGCAAGCTCTGTGCAAGTGGCATGCCTTTGAAGTTGAAATTTTCTCAACAGAGCAGGCACACTTGGTTGCCGACCATAATCAGCCACTTCTGATTGCCAATTACTGGTCGAATGGAATGGAATGGAATGAATGGCATTCCAGGCAGTAACAGCGGTTTTGTCACAGGTAGATTAGAACAACATGAGAAGCAGGAATCAGTCAAGACAACAATGTGACATAGAGAAGGAAGGATCCATTAATTTATTTAGTTCACTGTCATGTTATCAATAACATTATGTTAAGACAGTAAGAAATAACTTATGGCGATAAATTATTATTATAAATCATAACTTATTATGACAAAAAATAACTTATTGGTGCCTAGTAAAAGGCGACTGCCTTTAGTATGGGAACCCTTTTTCATAACCAAGTAGACGTGAAGTATATGTAGTTAAGGGAAATATTCTGATCATTTCATAGAGGTTTACGCTTAAATCGAAAGGCCATTAACAACCTGCAGAAAGGAATACAAAATAAGTTACATTATGCCATTCTGTGGTGCTGGCAACTGACAAAATTGTGACCCATTTTCAAGGATTCACAGCTGCCCACATGACATTGTGGTCTTATTGTGTAGGCTTGAGGTTTTAAAAATCCAACAGTGTTACCTAAAATTGTTGTATGAACCCTTTACGAGTTCACCCCCTATCACAAAGTCTTTAAGGATACATTGAACCAGTCAAGAAGGAATTAGTTTTTCAAACAATTCAATAAGCTCACAGTTTGTGTTTTGTCAAGTCCAAAACACTTGGCTGTGACATTAGTTTTTAATAAAACACTTCTGCCAATGCGATACACTGCTTTCGCGAGCAAATTGGGCGCTCAAAACAGTCTCAAAGAAAACGCCTGCACTGCAGGCTAGCGTTTTACGAAACGATCCTGCACGTGGAAAGACTTCCAGAACGCAGCCTCGTTACAATGGAAGCCTCGTTATCACCTTGCAACTCTTGTCTTATATCACGTGATCGTAGTGAGTAAACATCCATACTGAGTCGGAGCAGGTGAAATGTTTTTGTTATTTTCTGGAACGAAAATGTTATTTTCTAAGATTTTTCTCAGTACTTTGATCTCCATGTCCTTTTTCGGTAATACGTTGGGTAAAGATACCGTCATTTTAGTTTCTTTCGACGGTTTTCGATGGGATTATCTC